CCCCGACACATTTGGGGTAACCAGAGGGAGGGCTGCCGACTGAATAGATGTAGAGAATAGAGAGTAGTGTGTCCGAGCCAGAGCTAAGCTGCTTCAGTCTAGGTTAAGCGTGAGTAATCTGTGTTGGCTCACAGGCCCCCAATGGGCCCCGGGCCCCCATTGCCTTGCCTGTCCCCTCTGCTTAATCTGCCCCACACGACCTGCCCCCCTGCCCTACCCGACTCTCTGCCCCCCTCCCTCCCGCCACACTATTGTCTCTGTGTTGAGAGTGAGAGGCTGCACGGACCAGACCAACAGACTATTATAGGACAAGATATGAAATGATGTATTACATCAGTATCATGACATTGTAATATTTTACTTTGAATCCTTGATTCTATCAATAATCAAACAGGTAAGAGATGCACCTTCATTATTCAGGGCAAACTGATCTTTCCGATCATAATGGTCATACACTTTACACGTAGAAAAGGCTCGCGATATTTCTGTATTTTGAATATAGACTGATATATTTTATTGTTATAATAAAAAAATAGACCAATGCCTGCATATCCTTCAACAGGTCCTGATCATCTTGTGTTTTCCCCTCCACACATTTTAACTAAATGGAGGCCCATGACCATGGATCCATGACCCTTTAGGCTCTTCCACCACTTACCCAAATAAACCAGATAAAACAACTTCAAAACAATCGAGTCCATAGGATTTATTTCAACCAAATATGCAAAATATACAACATATAAATCCTAAATTGAGCGGCAGAAACACAGCATTCCTCACATCAGGGGCCTCCAACTTCTGCTGATAACACTGGAGTATTTAAGCTCTTCCTTTCCAGGTGCACCTCGTTTTGCACCTCGTTGCTGCAATGCTGCACACCTGGGCAGAGTACAAAAAAGAAGAGGGAAGGAGACAAAGAGGAGGAGAGGAGACAAGTCCATCATGCGCGGGGCCTCACTTCAGTCAGGGCAGAGAGAATTCAAACAGTATAAAAGCTTTGACAGGAGCAGCATGTCAGATGTGACCTGATGACACAGAGTGTATGTTCTGTCATTAGCTGCTCTTCTTCTGCATGTGCTGTCATAATGAAGTGAAGCTCAGGAAGACAGGACCTGTCAGCTGCTGCTCCTCCATCTTTACAGAGAGGACATAAGGGATCTGTCGGCGGAGAGATGTCTTTATCTTCCAAAAGTATTTTTCACGTATATGAAAATAAAGGATCAAGGAGGATGTTAAAAAGCTTCCAGGACCCGCCAAAATATAACAATGTGTTAGTTCGAATCAGAGATTTGTTACGGTGGTGCTGGGGCCCAGGCTAATGGCATCCTGAGTAGTTATATATTTTGATAATCTATTTTGGAGGTGTTTGGGGAAAAGTACAATGACATCAGTTTTGTCTGCGTTTGCACAAAAAGTTTAAGTTATTTGTTCTTTGACTTGATTGATAGATTTTATTGTGTATCATCAGCATAATAATGTAGTTTGAGATGTATAGAGTAGAGTGAGTCATTTATAATATTACCTACATAAGAACCTTTAAGGTAAACAGAATATGACCAAATACCGAACCTTGCGGGACTCCACGACTAACTTTAGCTTTCATGGAAGATTCATTGACACATACAATGTTACACATCAGATAAATAGGGCCACTGAAATTCCTTCAATTATTTTGTCTTTAAATGTAAAAAATATATAGCTATCATAATTATAGCTTTCCTATATTTTCAATATTACAATTATTTCCTGCAAATATCACAGAGGCTTCAGATTCTTAACATTTATGGCATTAACATTTATAAAATATATGTTTTTATTTACAAAATAGTTTTCAGGTAAATTCTTATCACTTTTTAATTACCATGTCTTCGATTAAGGGGTAAAACCAATCAAATTAAAAATTAAATAAATCACATTTTCTTACACAGCTGACCCACTGTATTCAAAATACCTTCCTGTGAATCAAAATTCTGACTAAAGCATCAAAGATAGAGCAAAAGCCAGACAAAGTCAGCCTGCCTCATATGGAAACACTGTGAGATAAATATGAATTCCTTAAATCAAGACAATTCTCTCACTACTCCTCCTGTTTCAGTCCTCCACTCTCTTGTCCTCATTTGTTGGATAAATCAAACACTTGACAATTAGAACCAGAATCAGAGGCTCTTTAGTGCTGACTCCACCGGCTGTGTGGATGTGCAGGAGTGGTCGACACAAAGACACTGTTTACCCCGCACTTTATTCCCTAACTCTGCTCAGTGGCTCAGCATAATCACTTGTTGTGGAAATCACTTAGCACTTCACTTCCATGTAAAGTGTGTTTGTGTCTACACATCGATTTACTACAGTGTGTGTCAACACTGTTTGACTACACAGGCTGAAGTCAGAGATAATTGCTGCTTCACTGGCCGCTCACTGTGCTTCTCATGTTTCATTGTTTCCATGTAAACCGCTTAACATAAGAACTACACTGTTGTAAAGCACAGGACCAAGACATGAGTGAGATTTCTTAGTGCCCCAGAAAACACTGAAAAATGTGAAATCCCTTGTAATTTTGTCTTGTTACTTTTCTGCATTTGCATTTCCAAATACACAATACAATGCAACATTATAAACACAACAAGGAAAAGGAATATAGTGTAGGTATATAACTTCTCGTCCTGCAGTTCATATGAAAATAAAAAGGATCATGTATTTAGAATTAATTCTTAAATGTTTATTTTATACATATAAAAATGATGTGCTTGGTGAAATTGGAGGAGTTGTGGTCTTGAGGCTGTGCTAAATATTGGTGGCAAAAATAAGAATTAAAAAACACATTCACAGCGTGTGCCTGTTTGGAACACGTCAATTCCTTGTAATAATAGCCCTTCCATTAGCATTTGAGTACCTTTTAGGGTCAGCTAAAGCAGCAGTTAGCTTCTGCCAGTTCTGTCCAGGGATTTTCTGCCCAATATTTAGCGACAACTTCTAAAAATGTGTTGGAGGATTCCTCAAAAACGGTTTGGACAAAATAAAGAAATGGCGAGGAAAACTATCTAGACGCAATTGTGAAACTGTTTATCCAGATTCCCATATACCTGCTCAAATGTGGGCAGTCCATGCTTATCCTCATTATGTTTATGAACACATCATCATTGTTCAATTGTACACTAGGATCCACATTGGAGACACCGTATATGTTGCAGTAAGCACCCAAGGATGCTTTTGTGTCTCTTACTTTAACTACCAAAATAAAAATGAATAATTCTACACACACCCCAAAAACACATCTGCATCTGTCCAAATCCAGTACTAACTTCATGTGCACAGGGCAAATTAATCAGCTTTGATGCTTTTATTAAATGTTTCATTCTAAGGATAATTTATTCATGATATTAGTCTAAATGCTTAGTGTGTTCATATTCCCTCATAGAGCTTTTGGAAAATAGTTTTAAAACAATCAAGGGAAATCCAAGCAGCATGTGAAACTCAAAATAATGTCTTTGTATATCTGAAGAAAATGGATTATTACCACTTTGATTCATCACTTTCGGCATGTCATCATATTAAAAATCTAATTTCGTGTTCATTGCAGTGAGATAAAGTCGAGCCATTACCATTGACAAGTTAATGAACGTGTGTGTGTGTGTGTGTGTTTGGCAGGCTTAAACATGGTGGAGTCTCTTGGGATCTCTTTGTGTGTCAGTTTGGTCCCAAGGGGCCCACAGGAAAACAACTCACCAGCTAAATGATGATAAGCACTGTCTGGTATACTGATTCTCTCACTGTGTGATTCTTTGTGTGTGTGTGTGTGTGTGTGTGTGTGTGTGTGTGTGTGTGTGTGTGTGTGTGTGTGTGTGTGTGTGTGTGTGTGTGTGTGTGTGTGTGCGTGTGCGTGTGTGTGTGTTTGCCAATCGGTTAGAGAAAGATTACAGTAGCTGGACTCTTGCCAATCCTCCCCATTAATCAGTGTTTTTACATTACATTGCATTTAGCTGACGCTTTTATCCAAAGCGACTTACAATAAGTAAGCCCTTGTGAGTCAATTTCCAAAAGTTCTGAAT